ACTCGACCATGCTGCCAAGACCCGATGAAAACTAAACTTATTTTTGTTAAATAAATGTAAATGGCCGCCACTCACCAGTACTCGCTTGGCAGGACGAGTAGACTTTACATTTGGAATACGAGAAATATTCGGCTACAAGTTGTTAGTTGCAGTTACTGTACTGCTTCTGATTTGATAAATTGCCATAGCTGAATTGACTTACAGTATAAGGGAACTAAACCAGTCTGGCTTTACTTTACTTGATCATCATCCTTTGTATATTATCTGTGTCAATAAGCAGGTTGCGGTATCAACGAAGGGGTACGATTGACGATAGAATTAACGACGGAGCACAATTGACGAACGTTTAAACGGTAGTACCCGTCGTTATTAACGAAAGGAAGGGGGTATCGTTCCGTTAATAACGACGTTGAAATTCAGTAATGAACGACTGGGCCCACATAGACCATTGAGCACGAAGACTGCGTAGGCGAGACAGTGTACCCAGTGAATTTCTGCCTGGGCATTCAATCCTGAGTTGCCCACTCGACTCGAATTTTCGAAAATCACAACAGTACTGCTCGGATGTTAGTGCTGCCAGTGGTCTCTTTAAACTTTTCACTTTTATGGATTACTTTTTACTTTAACTTTCACAATTGTAAAAATTATTCCATATAATAAAATACAGTAATTCGAGTATTTTGCTATTGGAGTAGCAGTGTACGGAGACTGTACTGAGGCATCTGACAAACATAATAACAGGTCCTGCATTCAAGAATGGAATAAGTGGATAACACTGCTTTAAAATAGTGTTTGCGTGAAAACGTTCATACACGTGTTAATCTATGTTTCTCAACCACAAAAAAATCTTTTTTCTGTTACTTTTACGGTGCAACATGAAATCGTTTCGGTATCGACACAAAAAATTGAAAAATGACTGTCAAAACACAACAGTTCGCCACGCTAATATCTATCGCTGTTAATTGTTTAGTGCATAACGCAACCTCTTATGCGAATCACCGGAGCCTTAAATGAACAACGTCAAAACCGTCGTTAATTTTGCCGTTAATGGTCCGGCCGTGCAAAACGCAACCTACTTAATGTGCAAACGGAGACTGGTTCGGTCTAGTCCGTATAATTCAAGATCAAAACGTGTGATGGGAACTGGAACGACTTCATTGTTCGGGTAAAGGAAAGTTAGGGAGACCATTGTCCGTGTTGTGATTTTTGCTGTGAATAGGTTTAAAATAGAGCCTTTCCAAAGCATAGATAGCCAAGCGGGATAAATAACAAATTACCAAACAGGATCTCGCTTGCATGTTGTTATAATTTGATCTGTTTATTTTAGATTAATTCTACTGTGATATTGTTTTCTACCTAAAACTACGTCTTGACTATGAGTAGACATCAGATTGCAAAATCTGAATTTAGATATACAGATACTGAGCTGCAACTCTTATAATTACCTATGTTCATCAATGGATTACAAGGAAGATACTATGTACAAACTTGAGTCTGTGTAAAATTCATTAAAAATTGTATTACTACGGTTTCAAATTTTTAAAATGTACGGAAATGTGTAACCTTATATGCCGATCTTAATAATAATAATTCGAAGTCAAATGACGGCGTTTTTTAACTGTAAATAAAGTTTTTCTTTCAAAATAATTGACTATCCAACTGTCCTGCCGACCAAGTGTCTGGCCGCGATGTGTCCGTGCTACCGGATGTCTCGCGACCAAATGTCTCTCGACCAAATTGACTAGCAACGAGTTGACCAGAAACTAAATGTCCGCGCGACCAAATGTGGCCGACGAAGTGTCCCGCGACGAGATTTTATGCGACGACTTGGTCGGTCACGACTAAAACTTGGTAACTAAATACACAGACGGTTAAGCCAAGCTCGTCTTTATTACCCAGGTGTATTTCATTTACAGCACTGCCCCCAGGGGCCGGAATTCCGCCATCCTCCCCCCAGATAACATAGCAGTATGTTAAATCATTATACAGCAGTGTGTAATGCGAAAACATGCACTTTGCTTACTTTAGTTACTTACAACAAGAAAGCTCACATTTTTTAACATCATTACTCTTTCGTTTCTCTATGATGGTTAAGGGATTTGGCCCGGTACACAGCATCAAATTCGTGTACATCAACGGGAACTTTCGCTGACGCGCACTCCCAAACACTTTTCATGCATTGCTTGTAGCTAAAAGAATGTAGGTGTGAAATCCGTTTGTGCGCGCAAAATCGGTTGCGGAGTTGTAAGGGTAACAAAATTTAAAAGTTTAACGATTCTGTGTACCAAAGTTATTATGGATTGTCTTCTTCAATTTTGCCAGTAAATGCACATAACCGTGAAGATGGATTTTACACCGATCTAGTGTTCTAGCATGTTTTCCAAAGTTTAGAATGAATTTGAAAAATTTTAAACTTCATTTTGAAATTTGACAAAACTCACGGAAGTCAGAATACGTGTAAGAAGGGTCTTTATGGTTACGTGCCTTTACATGCAAAATTTGAAGGGGATCGATCCATGATGAGACTTTTGGTACACCTGAGTGCATTTAAACTTTTTGGAATTTTCTAACAGCCATAACTTCCGAGCCGGATGTGGGGCGCGAAAAGGATTTCACAACTCTTTATACAAATCATTTGGCTAGTTATCGTCAAAAAAGAATTCAAAAAAGTGTTTGAAAGTGCGCGAAAGCGAACAATCCTGCCAATTTACACGAATTTGGTTCTATTTACCGGGCCAAATCCCTTAATTCTTTTACGCTGTTTCACTAAAAGCTTGCATCAACAGAACTTAAACCTTTCTATCTGTTTGACGGAGCCGACTTCTGCCACTTACAACTCATCGCACTACCACGCATAATCTCGAAACTTAAACGTTGAAACAAAAAACAAGTAGAGTGACTCTCGCCCGTCCTTAAAAACAACTTCTTACCAATCTCTTTTGACGTAACAATGCCGGTCTCACACCAAGTGCCAAAAGTCTCACATCCAAATGGGACAAAATTACAACGATCCGTAAGCGACTTGTATTTTCCAATCTTCTCTCGGCAAGCCAGTTCGGCAACGGCGCCAGAACACGTATGAATCCACCATCGTGTTTCTGCAAGTGGTGTCTCATACTAACGGCTGTCTGCGGTACCACTTCCAACGCGTGGCTCCATCCGGGCGCTTTCCGTTTTCACGCAAAAAGCCAATGGGCTCCGGATATGCCTCCATGCCGGCATTACATAGCGCTCGAAGTATGATATCAATAATGCCGTTAAGGCGTTCCCTTCTCCCGATGCACTTCTTGCACGCTAGCCCATGGTATCTGTTTTCCGCGACCTCTTTGCCACATCTCGCACATGAGTGCTGCTCTACGATCTTAGCGCCAAGCCACAGGCCAACAGAAATGCGGAAAGTCTGATCATCGAGGAAATTGCCGAATACTTTCGCGGGAAGGGCAATAAGCTAGACCCCAGCGTACTTCGTAATGACTGCTCTCAGGCGCTTCGGCTCTTTTATCTACACCAACATTATTCCACAAGGTGTCCACATCCTTTTGGATTACCGCGTTATCCCAAACGCATTGGTGAACACGTGCCAGATCCAACGGCAGCTCTTCACACGCAAACTCCAGCTTCCAGTTTTCACACGCGTCGCTGACCAATTGTTCGCGGTTGCCGTTGAATCACGGATGTTTCGTTGAAATTCTGTTTGTTTTAGCCAGACTGTACTTAACTAGCAGGCTGTTTTACATGGGTATCTAATCCGGTCAAGGGCAAAAGTGTATGTAAGTCTATTACCGCATACAATTCTATTCAATATACAGGATCCCCCTGTCTTATAGTTTACGGGACGCGCCGGTTAAGATTTAAGCTTATTTAATTTCAGGTGCATTTGTTTAACAAGTGTATGTAAAGGCCGGTTTTACTGTATACTGTAACAAGGAAAGAGCGGTTGATAACTTGATACGGTGATACCTTTGTTAAACAAGGCTCGTTTAACCAGTTTAACTTTAACCATAACTCTGGCTACTTGCATTTGTGATTATTATTAATGCCTGAAAACGATACATAAATCACTCCAGATCACTTTTTTGGACCACTTTATGTCATTCTAAAGCTAAAGGATTTGTATACACTGTTCTGAAAACCGTTTGCGCGAATGGTAGTGCACCAAAACGAAAGGTAATGCAGAAATTAGTGCACTGAGTCAAAAGCGGTGCAGGAGGTTCTGCAGTGTACGGAACAAAATGTAGTAAAAGGAGTGTACGGAGTGTCACCAATTGCTAACTGCAAAAAGACGTGCATATCGGTTAAGACCCTCGTCCGCCCACCTGGGGCAATTGCACCGGAAAATGCGTATTATCCAGTTTGTAATACTGTAACGGCCTTGGTTAAACAATACTAATCCAGTGTAAGCACAACCTTTGACATTTAACGTTCAACAACCGCTTATGGAATAAATTTTTCTAACCGAAAGTCTCCCACACTTTGTCAAATCCCTTATGTTTAGTAAGCTTCTTTTGATTTTTTTGTAATGCGCCCCAGAAATTTTTAGCTAATCCCAAACTTCTTTAGCTAATCTCGGAGTTGATATTCGATACATATATTAAAGTTTTCTGTAGAAAGCCGTGTGGAGAAATACCGGTAGGCTTAACGATATCAGATGGCGCTGGCTAAGCGCGCATCGTCCATCGACGGAGGAACAAACGAACCCGGATGTAGGTTTTAATGCCGAAATCTGAACACACACCGCGCTTGCGCGCAAGCCAAAAAACCAACTGGCCTCCGTAGGCAGCGCAGCTGCGTACAGAGCCGTCAAAATGCATGAAAATGCCCAGACAGGAAAAAACCCAAAACCAACCAATGACAGAAGGGCTGAATCATAAGCCCGCCCTGACAACGACGTAAACCAACGCCCTACCTTACTCTAGTAGGTGCATAATACTCGGGCGGAAGTTCGAACATCTTGCTATTTAACTTCGAGCAACGGCAAGCGACTGCAGGTCAATGCCCGAGCTGGAAGTAAATGCTAAGTCTGTAACAGTGAATGGTTGACTGACTCCAACTTAGCACCGTAGTATCATCATTATACACTTCCATAATTCTAACGATCAATTTCGCTGTACTGGCTCCGCAGGTCGCGTGGATACAAGTACGCCAGTATAGCATCCATGCCGAACCATGCGTGAATGTGATGACTTACAACGAAATTAACCTCTGAATTCCGTAGCGGTGCGCACAGCGCACATACATTAATTTTGCGAAGTACGGCTCAACGTAATCACACAGTGCTTCAATCAGTGCCAAAGTAGCAATTCAAACACTCAGATATATCATTGTATCGCCGCGGAAGTTAAGCAACTTATCATTGTTTCAGATGAAAGTGCCCGCAAAAAGGTTCCTGTTCTTAAACGGGAATGAGGGGAAGCTTTGCTAGGTCGGTTTGTTCTGTTGTTATCTGCTGGGCAGTTACGTATTCAGTATATGAGTTTGGTATGCTCGTATTCTCCTCCACATTTCGCTCCTATTGTGTGTCGACGAGATCTAAGGTAGTAACATATCGAAACACGATCAAAAGCAATGTGACAGTTGTTACAGCTTATTATAATATTCCTTCAAAAGCCGAAAAGACTATATATCTAAAGTGGATGTCTAACTTTTTAACCAACATCCCTTGTCCAATGTACATTTTCACGACGTCGAAAATGTTTTTAACGGTGTATGACATGCGCAAAAACCTGCTCGATCAAACGGTTTTCGTAATAAAAGAGTTTGAGGAGCTCAAAATGCATGCCAAAAAAGCTATCTGGATGGAAACCAAGCTTAATGATACGGAAACGTACCATACCTGGGAGCTATACGCTATTTGGAACGAAAAATGGGAATTCGTGAAAGAGGCTAGAGGAAGTAATATATTTGGCTCCCAATTTTTTGTTTGGTGTGATATCGGATCTTTCCGGACCGAAGGACATTTACGATATTTGCGAAATTTTCCGAACCCTTCGAATTGAGCAGCAGTTGGCCGAGCACGAGAAGCTTACACTGCTTTTGGTCTCACCATTCGTGAATGTGACGATCGATAATAATGGTATGCCTCCTCCTGAACTGGATAACGAGAATCATATAGGAGGCACTGTAGCTGCTGGCCATGATGCGGCATGGAGAATCTGGACAAAAAATTATTATGAAATGCAGGAGAAATACTTCAAGAGGAAACGCAACGCTGGAAAGGATCAAAATGTGATGAATGCTGTTGTTCTAAAGTATCCTCATACTGTTAACCTCGTTAAGCCTAAAAATTACTTCAACGGAAGCGGGGACCCATGGTTTTATCTACAGTACTATTTTTCGTAAATTCCGCTACATATATGGAGTCTATCGACGTTCGCTGTAAAAATAGTTTTCCAAGGGGGGTCGATAATTTTATACCTCATCCTAAATTCATGTATGAAAGCTATTCGTTTCGGCTCTGGGGCGCGAAAATGCAATTCAAAAAATCAAAATGTTTCTAAATTAAAGATTTTTGCTCTTCAACTAACGACATTAATGTAGCTTGTTTTATTGTTTCTGGTAGAGGGTTCGTTTCTCGTTTTTCACCTGTAAGGAACTGCAGTATTCTAGCAACCGTGCTTGGCCAGTGCACTAAATAACAGAGACTCTGCACGAGTTATTCTCGTGAAACCGGCAAACAAAGGTTTTGAGAGTGAGTTTCTAACCAGCGCTGTTAAAGCTTACCTGGTTCAATATCGTTTCTGGAAGGGCAACGTGTTAGGTACAAATCAAATTTAAACCTGCATTTTTTGGTGCAACCTGTCATGCAGCCAAAAATTATGACCGAAAATACTCGAAAATACCAAATAAACAATCGACATTTTTTGGAAAAGTCACAATGTGTCATGACTGCATGACTCGTTCAGCGTATGCTGCATATCCGCTTTCTTTTTCTACTGAAAGAAAACGTGTTTTGCTAAATAAACACTAGAAAATGTTCAAAAAGTCCTTAAGGGGAAGAAATGGCACAAGATTTTATGTTTTGTGAGCTGGGACACGAAAAATTTTTAGACGGTTTCATTTGGCATCATTGCAAAAAAGGATGGCTTAATTTTTTCGAAAAAGTTTTTTTAAGTTTTGTAGTTAATAAAATTTTGTATCAAACAAACGTAAACAGTATACGGTCCGACAAAGGGTCTGCGAGAAACAAACGAAAACAGGAGACTGCCATTTTGTTCAGCCACCCGGTACATGGTACAGTACATTTATGAATTAATAACGCAGTGTAAACTGTAATTGTAATTAACGTACGTAGATAAATAACCTAATAGTCTGATAATAGATTAATTTTTAATTGCTCATTTAGACGCTTCAATATAATAATTATGTTTATTAAAGTGTATGCGCGCAGTAGACTGTTGTTTTCATGACTAGCATGCCTGATGCCGTGATGCGTATTTGCAAAACGGAGCTGTTCACGCGGGTATTTGTAAAACGTTCCGTATCTTTCCTTCGACCAGTTAAAAGCAGATCGGCTCGGAAAGTTATGCATCATAATCCTGGTCAAAACAAAACCAGACCGGAGATAAAAAAGCCAGAGGTGACTGAGGTCGCGTATTAAAGGGAAGAAAGACAGAGCGGATAACAAGCTCTACGCACGCAGTCCGTACAGCATACACCCTATACGCTGTCCATGCGCAAAATATTAGCAAACCTTAAGGTTTAGCAGTATTATGCCATGCAGCATGGTCATGTGTTGGCCATATGCGGTAGCTTGTCAGCTATTATTGACTACTAATAACTCGTTAGCTATTACTGCCGTGGTTTTCGAAATTGAGGGACACGTCAACAAGTTTGATGGTGACTCTTCAGCTCTTGTTTCGAAGTCGGAATATATGACTGACTCTCTGACTGCCTTCGCTACGTTGACACCGTTTTCTGATATCATTTTGGAAGTTAAGGTCGCAATTTCCGTAGGTATGTGCAGTGTACGAGCCGTTTTAGTTGGCCAAAATTTTGTGCTGTTTTAGTGCGTACGCACCTCTTTTTTGCACGTCCTGTGCGCGTCAGCAAGGTACTTTCGATCGAATTGTTGTTTGGCATATTAATCTTGATCTCCACATAAAACATGGACATTCGCTGGCCAAAAAGCGGTTCACGTTCGCTGTGCAAGTGCAAACAACCCCTTTTTTGTGTAACATTATGCCTACTGTTTGTTCTCCTAATGTGCCAAACAAGTCACGATGGTATTACACCCTCTCCTGCTGAAAACGACCATTCTGCGGCTCGAATTACCGTTGTGACAGCATATTACGATATCCCGTCTAAACGAGCTCGGCGGACATACCTCGCTTGGATTAAAAACTTTTTCTCTAATATACCATGCCATCTGTACATCTTCACCTCGAAAAAGAATCTTCGCCTGTTGAAAGCGTTCCGGCAACCATACTTGGACCGAACCAGGATCATTGTGAAGGAGCTGGAAGAACTTGAAATGTATAAACTGATGGGCGACTGGACTAAGATTAAGTCTCGTGATACAGAAGCCGGCCACTCTCCTTTGCTTTACCTTATTTGGAACCAGAAATGGCTGTTTGTGAATGACTCAATTCAAGAAAACGCATTTCAGTCAGAATACTTTATATGGTGCGATGCCGGAGCATTTAGAAGTCACCGACATATTCATTTACTCAGGAATTTTCCGGACGTCACAAAAACTGTATCAGTTCTACGCGATCATAACCGCTTGACACTACTGCTTTTAAATGCATTCGATGGCCTTGAACTTTCTGACGGGACACAAAGCAAGTTCTTCATACCCGGACACAATCATATCGGCGGAGGGTTCGCTGCCGGTCATACAAATGCCTGGAATCACTGGATAAAAAACTATTACGAAATGCAGAGGCAGTTCATTCGACGTAAACAGAATGCGGGAAAAGACCAGCATGTGATGAACGCGGTTGCAGTGCAATACCCACAGTTTGTGAACTTGATATCACCAAAATCATACTTTAACCACACCGGGGATCCTTGGTTTTATCTGCAGTATTTTTTCAGTGGAAGTTAGTGCAATATTTTTGGATACTTCTGCTTGTGTTCATGATTCATCAGTTAAAATTTTTATGAAGTACCGAGGTCTACTTAGCAGTTTTGAGCAACGAGGCAGACTTTTTTGGTGAAAGTGTCACCAGAAACAGCCCAATGGTCAGTAAATTCTCCTAACTAGTCGCACCCCCGAAACACATTTTTTGTTTCCGTTTATGACGTTTTTTGTAGCCGAAGAGGTATACACTGTGAAAACTAGGTATGTAATATCTGGAAACGAGAGTTATGAATTCTGCAAAATTCGAAGTAGTAATAGGTGTACCAAAAGTTCATAGACGATTAAATTTTGCAAGTAAATGCGCATGTCCATGACGATCGTTTTACACTGATCCAGACTTCCATGATTTTTTTCAAATTTTAAAATGAATTGTAAAGTTTTTGAAATTCATTTTAAAATTTGAAAAACATGCTGGAACAGTGGGTCGGTGTAAAAACGTTTTTCGTGGTTATGTGCATTTACGTGCAAAATTTGAGGGAGATCGCTACATAATGAGACTTTTGGTACACCTGAACGCATTTAAACTTTTTGGAATTTTGTAACAGCCATAACTCCCGAACCGGATGTGGCGCGCACAAACGGTTTTCACGCCAGTGTATACAAATTGCTTCTCAACGCGCCACGCGAAACAGCTACTCTGGGCTCGGAACTTTATTCCATTGGGCAGATATGCCGATACATTGGCCGGAAGCGGCCCCAAGCCCAAGAAGCCAAACAAACAAGAACAATGCGGAAGCAACAGCACGGCTAAATTTACCGTTGCAATGTGAGGGCTGTCGCAATTCCGGAAGCAAATTCTCGGCGGAAGTCGACATCACGGCTGATGTACTGCTTGTAGCAGTCGCTTCTCCAATTCCCTTGAGCTTTCAACGAATTTTCCGATAGGCCAACAAACGAGGAAAATGTAGCAGCTCGCCTCCGAAAGGAATGAGCAGAAAACCGTGAGACGTCCAAAACGCCACCGCTTCCCAGCGTTTTCCGAAATAATTTGTTAAATTCATTCGAGGTTAAAGGTTTAAGGGATTCGCCAACCCTATAACTAAACAAGAAATCGTGGTCGCGCGGTCGCACAGATTTCTGTGCGCTGCGAATGGCTTTGTGACAGCTGGCAAACAAAGGCTCACGATAGTGAGAGAAGGCTTTATTGTGGATAGCAATAAAGTGAAGAACCAACATACAAAGGCTCGATGCGAGCAGGATCATGAAAGTACAGTGAATGATAATGCTAGTGAACAAAGTGAACGGCATATCGAGCCAAAGCATGGGAAAAGCCTATGCGGCATACTGGGCAGATCCAACACGAGCGAACGAACGCTGATAGGCCGAGATGGAGAAGTGGGGCGTGGCTCCGCCTACATCGAGGCCGATGATTGGCCGAGACGTAAGGCTGGGCGGAAAGCTGCCTGAGTCGAGGCCGATCTAGCGCTCGACAGCGAGTGCGACTCGGTGTGAGTCAGCACACCGGAAGCGGACTGTCGCTGGCTGCCTGCTCGTAGGCTGCCATAGCGACTGGCCCAACATGCCTCTGGGCGGAGTCCGAGCCTGCGAAGGACCGGCCTCATACCGCTCCAGTGCCTGCTCCGCACACGACCCTATTGGGGTCGGTGGCTGCGCCTCGGAAGTATCCGATGATGGGGTGTCTCGTGCCGCGTTCTCCTCCGGACCCGTGGTGGCGATACAACTCACGGCCGAAATCCGAAGGTCGGTCGGTATTGTTGGACCGGTGTAGGCATCTGTTGGTCGAGTCCGTAACGGCGAAAAGTAAAAAAAATAAAGTATTATTCCATCTTTCTCTCTCTCTCTAGTAAAATAACATCACAATTCCTGGTGAGCAGGTTTAAAAAAAGATAAAAAAAAAATGAGAACATCATTTCGAGATTAGAAAAAGTAAACTCAAAGTCTTTGGTCCGGGGCTTTGGGCCGGGTGCTTATTCCGACTAGAGCTCGTCCGCTCACGGGGGCTCCAGTCCACTGTAAGTCCGGTCATCTAGGTCCGAGGCATCGGTTCTCGGGATACCCAATGGTACCGGTTCAATTCACCGAGGGTCGAAGGTTCGACCCTATTGACTTCGGGTAAAGGGTATGGATCTCCGTTGTCGGGTGCGAAACGGGCGTGAAACACACTTTCCGACCGGGATCCTCCGGTAAAAGTTCGATTGGAACCTTCTTAGCCGGGTAAGACAGGTCGTACTTACGTCCAGCCGTGGTTCATCGGGTAAGGTTGATGGAGAGGCACCGTCGCATTCGCGAATACCGTAAGGTACCCTCTTTAAGTGCAGGATAAGACCTGTTGGGTCTATTGATCGGTGGATCCTCCGGGAAAATCCGGTGATCCGAGGTTCGAGCCGGGCAAACCGTAAAGGTGTGTCCTGTCGCCTATTGGGCAACAAGGACCGGTTAATGCCTGGTCTCTGTAGGGTTGGATGGTCGATGGTATGGTCTCTGTGCGGGAGTCCGACCCCATGTCCGGTTAGCTTCAAAATGTTGAAGTCCGATGGTAGCCTTGGTGCCCGAGGGTCAGCTCCGGTTGTAAAATCAGAGTTCAAGCTCAGCCTCGGTTGCTGAGTCTAAGTCCAATTGGCAGCCTCGGTACTCGA